TCTGAGGCAACAACTTGGAACTGGAAAGTTTTCAGCGTTTCAAAATCAAAACTTTTCAGCGCTAAAATGTCCCCATTTTCAGAGTTTATGTTTAGAAATGAAGTGACTTTATTATCCTCACTTCCATCTCTGATAATATGATAGGAAATGCGCGCATTGTCATTCTCATCACGATCAGAGGCTTTAACAGAAAACACTGAAGCTCCTGGACTGTTCCCTTCAGTAATATAGAAAGTATATGGGCTGAGTGAAAACTCTGGACTATTGTCATTCACATCGGACACCGTAACACTTATTGTGTTTTCAGATGATAGCGATGGTTGGCCACAGTCTTTTGCAACTACTGTTATTATATATTGTGACTGTTTCTCTCTGTCTAGAGTTGTCTTGGTTACTAATGAATACATTTTGTCCTGTAAAGATGGTGATAAAACAAAAGGGACATCATCAATTACACTACAAATAACCTTTCCATTCACTCCAGAGTCCAAATCATTTACACTGATAAGCGCTACTGTAGTTCCAGGTCTGGAATCTTCTGGGATAGAGCTGGAAAATGATGTAACCTCTATATCAGGTGCGTTATCATTCACATCAACTATCTTAATAATCACGCTTTTTTGTGTAGCCATTGGAGGCAGGCCTTTGTCTGATGCCTGAATTTCAATTTCGTATCTGTCTCTCTCCTCATAGTCTATTAACCCTTTTACAATGATCTCACCTGTTTTCTGATTAATATCAAAAAGCTTAAAGAATTTACGATTCACGCCATTGCTAAACGAATAAACCACATCCCCGTTGGGTCCATCATCTAAATCTGTTGCGTTTACCTGAATGACTGTTGTATCTACCGGAGCATTTTCATGAAGCATCACTGTGTAAACATCTTTAGAGAAAATGGGGCCATTATCATTTACATCTAAAACACTGACTAGAATATTCATAGTACCCGATTTCGGAGGTTTACCCCCGTCCATGGCCGTTAGTATGAGCGTGTGGCTTCCTGCAGTCTCTCTGTCTAACGATTTTTGAACAATCAGTACAGGTATTTTACCGTCGTCTCCTGAGTCTTTAACTTCCAAACGAAAGTGGTCATTAGAGCTAAGTTTATACTGCTGAAGAGAGAAGGGGCCACTGTCTGGATCTCGTGCGGGTTGCAGCGGAATTCGCACGCCTGGTAGCACAGACTCAAAAATCTCCAGTGTTGTCTCTTTTTCAGGGAATGTGGGAGAATGGTCATTTAAATCCACCACTTCTATAGCAACATAATGAACTTCCAGTGGGTTTTCTAGCACCGTTTTCAGATTTATTGTACAAGTACTGCTCCGCTCGCAAACCTCTTCCCGGTCGATTTTTCTTCTCGCGTACAGGATCCCGTCGTTTTGATCCACATTAAAAAGAGGATCTATGGCACTAGTTACAATTCGGTATTTCCTGCCTTTTAGTGTGCTTTTATCTAATCCCAAATCTTTTGCTACATTTCCAACCACAGTTCCTTCTTCAACTTCCTCAGAAATGGAATATCTTAATTGAGCCGATGCCACACCGCACAGAAGCATAGCGATCAAGCACACAACACTCCGTCCTTTCATCCACGTTTGGTCGCATCCTCTTTGTCCCATCATTAAAACAAAATTAACCAACTCTTCGCGGTGTAAGTCACAGTGTCATAAGAAAAGAGTCCAACACGCACATACCTATGAGATGCTTATTTCAAAAGACGTAACAAATCCGGAAAATTTGTAAAACGATCGCAGCATCCATTCAACTTATTCTGTCTGTAGGGAACCGAGGAGATAATAAAAATGTGGAACCCTAATGCAATGACGACAAGATACAGTCTGTCTTTTGCCAGCACACTGACACCGTGCGAATTCGTTGTGTATTGCAAGAAAGTCAAAATACTGCAGCTGTTTCCAGGTAATTCTAAAGGAGCATCTTTATTTACTTTGACTTACAGACTTAGAGGAATCTGAAAATCACTTTTCCTCATTAGCTAATTAGAAGGTTCTAAGTGGAGACAGTATAATTAAATTCTGAAAAACGTTAGATGTTTCCAGATAATAACTTTAAATACTAATAGTCTGATATTTTTATACAACATATTTATAGTATTTAAATTTATTTTTAAAATAATTTTCTAATCGGGATATGAATACTATCTCAAGAAAACGGACAGTGAATAACGGCTGGTCCAAATGCCTTTCTGTGAAGTTATAGAAGGTGAATGAAGTAATATGACTGCAAACTATTGCGTTCTCTAACATAAATGTCTTACCTCTTCAGATGCTCGTCTCCGATCAGGTAGCACTAGAGTATTTGCATGACTCCCAGGTACTATAGTAGATCCTATACTCATTCTGGGTCCAACGAGCATGTACCGCTTCTCTCCTGATCTGTACTGGATGCTGTGACACAGTGTCCCATCATAATTAGTCTCTGGCAGATATTTAGAAGTATAGTCTGTGGATTTGGAGCACTGCATTGCAATCAGTACGATGATGCT